AATATAATATTTAAATGTAAAATAATAAATTATAAATACCATATAGATATATGATTCGTTCATAACATTAAAATATAACCAATTGCTCTTACAACTTACCATATTCTGCACGCTGTTGAAAAAATTTCGATCACATCTGCTATTTACTTATTTAAAACTCCCGAAAATTCAGGTTATTTCGCCTGTATGTCAAATCAGTCAAATGTGGTCGTAAGCGGACGTAAGGTTCAGTCGTAACGTCAATCGAGCATGGATTGTGACAATTAATATAGAAAGGTGGTCACTTTTCATTTTATGAAAATTTCCGAGAGACAGAATTAATTACCGTGGGTGTACCTCTGACCAAAAGCGAATATTTTGTTGCTTGCATAAAAGAAATCTTATTAAAATGACAAATTATTGTATTTTGTGCAAATCGTCGGTAACCTCTGCATCCAGTTTTCATAGGTAAGTATATTTCATATATAATACATATTTATACCATCGTTAAAGTAAAGAGGTTAACCCATTGATGTCGATTGGTTAACCATAATATAAACCATGCATAATACTGGTCATAATATATATTATTGTTACTTATTTTTATATATATATATTATTGTTATGTATAAGGCGGTTTTATTTATTATACAATAGTATTTGCTGAGTATTTATACATACACACATACAATAGTAATAAGTTTACATTTGTAAACTACATGCTGTTTCTTTTTCTTCATAGTGCAATTGTTGTTTAAGTAAATTCAGCGAGTTACAAATAAAGATGTGTAAAATAAAAGAGAAAGGGAGAGAGAGATAGATAATTAATGAGACAATGTTAATATTCTAATTTACAGGTTTCCGAAAGATAAAGATAGAAGAAGCAAATGGTTGCAAGCAATCAATATGAATCAAGTTTTACAATCTGCTCAGCTGTGCTCCAATCACTTTAAATCATCAGATTACCAAGAAACATTATATGGACTAAGAGGACGACTTAAAAACACTGCTATTCCCGAAATTACTTCACGAAAAATCAATTGTGATAACATAGCATTATCTAGTGACAAAGAATTTCATATTAAAATAGAACAGGTACTTGGAGAATGACTACATAACACAGTAATCAAGTAATTTTCAATATGAAAATATACCTGTGGTACACATTTTCAGAATACATGTAAGAAACAATCCGATGAAATTAATATAGAAGAATGCAATATGGAATGTAACGATGGTGCAAAAGATAATCCTAACTCATTGAAAAGGTTTAATAGTATTTTTTTTACTAATATATATTGTTATCTCCATAATACCTATAGTAATGTATTCTTTTTCTAGAAAATTAATAGAGAATAAAGAAGTAGACTTTCCTTTGAAACATATCAGATATATAAAGGATATTAATATATGCCAAGTATCTAGAAATCCGGACGAAGCGGCAATAGCATTAGACGTTGCATTAGAAACAATTACAGAACAGGCAAAGAAAATACAACATTTGCAAGTGCAGACATGTAAACTAAAAAAACGAGTGCAGAATTTGATTGAGTTAAATAAACATTTACGCGACAATAATTTAATTTCTAAAAAAGCTTTAGAACGTATGAACGTAAGTATTTATTAAAGTGCGTATGTGTGATTATTGTATACTAGATGCATCACTATAAGAGTCATAACTTAATAATAATATATCCCATACAGAAAATTATCGTGAAGTTGGCATGAACGCTTTGTCAAATCCAGTCGTCGTCTATATCAGCAATAAGTTGTTTTTCAAGCAAAATCTGTGATAAAACTAGACAAATAAATTAGCAGCAAAAACCGAACACATTTGGTATAGCATTGGCTGCGTTCAGCAAAGAAAGCAGCTTTGCAACTGTTGTAAAATACTTTAATATGATTGGTCTTGCCCTTACTTCCTTATTACATCTAAATGTATAAGCCAATCATATTCAAGAATTTTACAACAGTTGCAAATCTGCTTTCTCTGCTGAACGCAGCTATTGCTTACAATAAAACTTGCTTAGTTTTTACTGTCAATTTGTTATTAAGGGGCAGTTCTCATCTAGAGGTCCAAAAACATGGTGATTTTCTTGATTTTTTTTTTCGTAGAAGGAAGTAAATAAATGAACAACTTGAGTTTTTTGACAGTTATTTACTGACTCTTAAAGTGTAGAAAAAAATTTTTTTTGATACATAAAAGTGTCATGGGAAGTGTTAATACGCCGTCGAACGTCACGATGAAAAAAAAAGGTACCCAAACGGTCTCCATCGCTCAGCACGCGTTCATGTCATCTGAAATGAAAAAACCAAAAAATTTTATAAATTATATGATATTTATTGGAGCTTGTACCTATAATATCAATAAAAAGTCGAAAATTACAAAAATGGCAGACATGTGAATTTTTAGTACCGTTTTTTCCACATTTTTCGCTCTTTAAAGTGCTCGAAAAAATAAAAAAAAACGACAGATACATCTGAATTTAGGTTTAGGCTCCAATAAATTTTATCTACTTTGAAATAAAAAAAAATTGAAGTCAATCCATCGAGTAGTTCTTGAGATATCGTGGAGACCAGTTTGAAAAACATGATTTTTCAGAAAACGCGTTTAAAGATTTGGTTAATTTTTTCGAGTTATTAGCAAAATAATGTACCTTATAGCTAATCAGCAATTCCAGGGCCATACATCAACCTTTCGTCGACTTCATACTGCTTCATCTCAGCGATTTGGGCGGTTTTCTTCGATAATGCACGCTACAACTGCACATATTAGTGTAAGAGACGCATGCTTTCCGTTATTTCAATGCCATATAGCGCATCTAGCGATATCTGGTGGTGCTTTTTTATGCAATCGTTATCGGCCAAACCGTTTTGGGAACATATACATCATAAGCTATCGAAAAATGCAAAAAAAAAATCGATTTTTGGTCGAGTCTCATGAGAACCTCCCTTTAAGTTATATTTATTCATAAATATATTTACCCGTATTTTACAAATTGTATAATTTTAAAATAAAAAATAAAATATATATTGAAAATGTTATAGTTCGCTGCTCCTGTTGTGAAATCTATTATCCAAAAACTGTTATCCAAACATCATAAATTTACCAAGTTATCTCCAGAATTACAGACTTTTGTAGCGTCTTTACACTTTTATTCTCCAAAAGCATACGAATATGTACGAAAAACGTTTTTTTTAAAAGATTTTTACCTCATGAAAGTACGATTCGTTTCTGGTATATCAATGTGGATGGTAACCCTGGAATATGTAAATCTGCGTTACAATATAAAAAAAAAGGCAGACATTGCGCGCGAAAAGAATAAAGTAATCCTGTGTTTTTTAATTACGGATGATATAACGATTTAAAAAAAGTGAAATGGTATATGAATGATTATGTAGGATATATTACTTATGGGAAACACATGAATGACATTGATTTACCTAAAGTTTGTCTAACAGCTTCCAGTGTTATTGTACTTATGGTTGTAGGTGTCAATGATCATTGGAAGCTTCCAATTGCGTATTAATATTATTTTATAAACTTATTGAGTAGCATGGAACGAGCGAATACAGTAAATGATACATTAATATCGCTACATGAAACCAGAGTTTTAGTCACTTCCATCACCTTCGATGGACAGCGAAGTCACTTTGCAATGGCTACACAATTAGGTGCGAAATTAAACGTTGACGACGATTTGCAAGTTAATTTTTTACATCCGATTTCAAAAGAAAAAATTTTTGTACTTTTGGATCCGTGTCATATGTTAAAACTCGCAACTCGTTTGGAAAACTGCAAGTCATCGTTGACGGAGATGGTAACATTATAAATTAGTCTTTACTGGAGAAATTTTGGTACAATTTCAAGAACAACACGGTTTGCATGCTGCAACTAAAATTAGCAGACGGCATTTGAATTGGCGGAATGAAAAAATAAAAGTTTCTTTGGCAACTCAAACGTTAAGCAACAGTGTTGCAAAAGCATTACCATATTTACGTGACTACTTGTAGTTACTAGATTTTAAAAATAGTAAGGGTACTGAAATTTAATACTGATCCACAGAAAATGCCTATTTCAGACTGTAATATTCATGACATTGACTGTTAATGGTGAATTAATTATTCGCTATAATTATAAGACAGAATTTATTGGAATAATAATTTCCTTATATAGCGTAATAAGCATCTTTTACTATGTTTACACGGTTCGATTTACGCCGAAGTTATAACATCGATGTTATGAAAGTGGCCAATCACAGTCCTTCCATTTTTCAGAGGAATAGCTATGATTGGCCAGTTTTATAACATCGATGTTATAACTTCGGCGTAAAGTGTGCCGTGTAACTGAGGTCTTCGATACTTGGATCGTACCTCTAGAACTAGATCGTACCAATTCCTTCCGTTCATTTACTTATTAACTTATAAACTGTCACAGGATCACCTTGAACTATTTTCTTCGGCAGTGAGAAGTCGTTGTGGAAATAATAACAATTCTACATGCTTGCAATTTATTGCAGCATTTAAGAAACTGTTAGTACATGCTCGAATTAATGGTTCCAAATATGCAAATTGTTTAACACAAGATAACCATTTTTGCATCTATTACCGGCAGAATCAAACAATTTAGATGATATATAAGAATATAAGCATTCATGGTGACAACATTGACTCGTGTACAGAAAATCCAAATGTACACGAAGATCATGATTATGACTTACACTTGGCTTTTTATTCTTTAAATAAAAGTTACATTGAGACGATATTGTAGCATATATCGCTGGATTTATTGTTTTTAAAATAGACAAGGTAATATCTTCTGATATATATGTAAACAACTATTATATAACAATTAAGGTATGCCATTCCAAATTATAACGTTTATAAAATTAATTGCAACAATATAGAAATAAAACATATTATTATAAAAAAAATTAATATAATAAAATTTTGGATATGTTCTAAAATCTAAAGTTTTTTTTTTTATTGTCACTTCCGTTATTATTGAAACCCTGAAATCATGAAAAAAATAAATTTTTAACTTTTAACTTTTCAATTACATTTTTTTATTAACTTAACTTTTAATTCAATTAATTTCATTATACATTAACTTGCATCTTGACTAATTTTGGAAGTTAAATTTTCAAGGTTGTTAACTTTAGCTTAACTTAATTTAAAAAAAAGTAACTTACCCAACCCTGGTATTTATTATTCTAATATATCGCCGTATAATATCAAAGCGGTGGACGTCACAGTTTCTCGTTCAAATAAACGAAACACGACTGTTTAGTGCGATAATTATAAACACGATATTAAAAATGAATGGAAGAAGCATTTTGAACACGACATTCAAGATTCAAGTATCGACGCCAATGAACGACCGAAGAATCGCGTCTTGCTATTCGCTTTTCGCTGCAGTTGAGTTTCGGCGCGCGACGGTAACTCAGTTCCCGCAATCATTGACGGTAACCGAGTGCTCGGCACTTTGCCTTCCCGCGCGATTCTGTGAACGCATGCCCGATTGGTCGGCGACCGCTGCGGCGGCCAATCAGCGATGTAATTGAAACGGTGACGTAGTTTTAAAGCGCTGTACGCGGCTGAGTTGCGCCTACGGTCGCCATGCCATGCGGTTGTCCTACCGATTGACAGGCTCGTTTACGTGATCGCGCATCTCTGTTCCGTTCCGACGACGGATAAAACCGGTAAAACTATTGCGGTCGTCTTCGACACGTGTCGACGAACGGCATTGTGATGCTGCGCGATTGTACGTAGGCGTGTGTTGCTCGGTGTACACGCGACGTGAATTCATCGTGAATCTTTTGGCGAAAACGACGAAACTCAGTTCCCGCGTCCTGCCAACGGTTGGACACGGCATAGTGGTTGCCCGTTGCAGTTCGAACGTAACATGTCAGGAGCAACGCGAAGGTTAGTACGTAACTTTATTTCTATGTTTTGCGTCATTTTGCAATTCAATTCAATTCAATTTGGTAGAATGGCCTCGTCCGCTTGAACGCGTGGACGAAATAGCCAGCATCGTAGAGCTGCCGACATCATTTTGCACACGACGTGGCTGATGATTCCCTCGACTGATTGTCGCTGGAAAAGCAGAAATTGCCTTTTTCCGAATGAAGCCGCGTGTTCCGTAACACGTCGACCGGTGGTGCTCGTAGCGCCTTTTCGATTCTCTATTTCGAAGTCGCCACGCGATACACGCTGTCCTCTGACCGTCTGACGGCAACTTCGAAAGTTGCCAGCTGGTTTTTTCTTTTTTTTTTTAGCTTATTCTTGGCCGCAGCTACATCGAGACTTTTTTTTTTATAATTAGGGGAGACTGGGGCACATTGGCGGGTGGGGCACATTGGCGGTTTGCACTTTAATCAAATTCTGCACATTAGAAAATTCTATGCATCACATAATATATTCATTACATCTAGCTGCATCGCGTCACACAGTGCGGCCGAACTCTAATTTTGCGGCCAAAAGTCGAAAACATAAAGTTTCTAGTTGGGTGTTTTTCACCGTTGGATTGGCCAAAGGGATCCCCTAAGAAACGATAACCGGTCACAGTAACGTTCCTTTGGCCAAATTCCCTCGGCAGTGTCAGTCGGAATGTGGCCTTTGTCCGAGCGCTGCACTATTGTAGTCGTACAGCTAACGGTAAACACATCTTAACGGTCGAATAAAAGTTTCGGAAGTAAACAAAATCAAGCAGGACAAAATGGAATCGTCAACTGATGGTAAGTAAAATATGTGAAAAAATGTCTGGTAATTGATTATTTTAGGAAATTATTATTACTAATAAAATTTGAATTGTTAGATGAAAA